GTGCAGTGTAGAAAACAGAGTATATTCAAATACTTGAAATAATTAAAATGTCTCGTTTGTTACTGAATAGTATTTGATGCAAACAAACAAACAAACAAAAAAAACATAATACATCAACCAGTGACCACTCACTAAAGATTGGTATCGTCAAATGGAAAAACCCATATCGGTTGACCACTAGCATAGAGAGCTGAAACACAAATGTCCCATTTCAATACTAGCATACAAGACTTTTTTTTTTTTTTTTGTAATAACAGCATTTGACACAACATGCTGATGGATGTTAAAGCAGAATTAAAGACCACTACTGCAAATTTTAAGCTGGTAAACTTAACTAATTCAAACTCAGGACAATCCAGCATCACGGGATATAGAACTCTTTGGATACTATCCCTTAGGTATAATTACACAGTAGCCTGTATGTCCAATTTATGCATTGCTACTACAGAATGAGATACTATTGACCATGACTGCAAGCATCATTAATGAAACAACAGCCCACAGTGGAGGAACACGCATGTGCATACAGTATGTGTACAGTTGCAGGCTCTCCCCTCAGAGTGACTGACAGCTGAATGCATTACAAATTTGCTACCATGGGTCAGTTCAAGGCTGAACAGTGGTTAGCGCTTTCGCCTCACAACAAGAAGGTTCCAGGTTCGAGCCCAGGCCGGCCCGATGCCTCTCTGTGTGGAGTCTGCATGTTCTCCCTGTGCTGCTTCTCTGCAGGGACTCCTGCTCCATCCACGGTGTTCCCCTGACCACAAAGCTTAGATTGATTGGCAACTCTAAATTGCCACTAGGACTGAGTGTGTGTGGTCAGTTGTCTCTGAACGACCTGTCCAGGGTGTACCCCGCCTCTCGCCCAATGTCAGCTGGGATAGGCTCCAGCTCCCCCATTCAGGAATAAACGGTAAAGATGATAATGGATGGATCAGTTCAATCTTTTAACCTGGTCTCTCTCTCTCTCTCTCTCACTCACTGCCACTATATACAAGCACTCACACACACACACACACACACACAGTCCTGTCTTAGTATAATTGTGAGGATTTAATGCATTAACTAATCCCTTACCCTAACCATCATAAATACATACCTAACACCCAACCCTTACCCTACCCTAAACCTAATTCTGCCCTGTACCCTAAAACCAAGTCTTAACCCTCTGAAGCTGTGAGAACTGGCTAAAATGTCCTCACAACAATGGTATCAAAAGAATTTTGTGCATGCTACGTCATAAATGTAATAAAGACCTGTGAACACCATTGTGGTACTGCAATGAAAAATCCTTCACGGGGCCTAAAAAGCATTTTCTCCATAGACCACAATGATAAAAATAGGCACCTGGAAAAGTATTGACAGGACACCTTGAACTATAAAAGAGGCCAATTGTTGCTCTTTGTATAAGGAATTTTACCAGAGCCTAGAAAACTTTTATTTTTGTGACATCATCCTAAAGTAAATTCAGGGCAGCAGGGAAAACACTAATGCACATGTGCAGTGGGCCCTATAATGTCTAAGCAAACCTGGAAGAGCAGTGCTTCCACTATATACGTTTTGCACCGGCAACCTGCCACTGTAACATTATTGTTGCTGCTGCTTCAGAATGTTATGAAATAGCAGGTAGATTTTACTGTTTAACCCGTCAGACGCAATTTGTCCAAATGCATTGGAACTTCACACCTCACGAGCTAACGTTACTTATTGACTGGTCATGAATCTCATGTCAAAATAAACATCATGTTCAGCCCTTTCCAATGAAGCTAGTATATAGTATACATACTTTTTGCCCAGTGTGCCAGGAGAGCAAGTTTCATTCAAGTGACTGGGTGCCAGGTTTTAGTCCGAAAGCCAGGTTTTCATGATGCACACGCACACAGACCAAAGAGAAAACACCAAGTGATGATGTATCCCAACAACACTACTTGGGAATCTGTTTTCTACGTTCACATAGAAGAGCTGATCTTATCAAAGTTAACACAAATGTGATAACTGATGTTACAAACTGTAGGTACCAGAGTAGTACAAAACAAATATTGACACAACGCTACCTGAGGATCAATCCATTATCAACAATTACAATGATCATTTTTCAGTAATAGGGCAGTCTAGTTAATCAGTCACAACCAGGTGAAGTAAAAGTGAGTACTATTTGTTGATCTGATTAAAATTAAACACCACTGGCACAGTCAACAGGAAAGGTGCAGCATGACAAGCATCAACACATTTCTGTAACAGTAGATGGAGTGTCTCCCACATTTAGTGCTGATATACAGCTGCAGGATTTCCTGTTTTGTTCTTTATACTGAACTTATTACTATTTTGGGTGTTTTACAGACTAAATAATAAATGAAAAAAAAAATCACTAATTACATAGATTAATAAATTATGGAAATAAATGTTGTTTACTGTCCCAGTTTTAGCAGTGAACTTCAATAATAAACACTTTCAACTGTACTAACTTTCAAATATGGAAACCCTGTTGATTAATCACCAACTTTCCAGCTAGTTCAACCACACAAATGACTGCATCTTCTGGTCTCCATAAAACAAGCAAACAAACACACAAAGACATCTGTGATATAGTTGTGTGACTGTGGGCCAGACAAGGGACACAAGAGGAGGGTGAATCAGGAAGCTGCCATCTATGATTGTTTCATTCACCGATCTGTGATGGGCAACTCTTTAAATGGTTCAAACCACATGAGAATGAAGTACTGGAAAGACAACAGTCTGCTATACAAACACAGACTCTTGTAACATTAAGTGACTCCAGCCTTCAATAGTCTGACAGTTTTATGGCTGCATTGTACAACCCACCATTCATACACATGGTCAACCCATGCCAAAGCCCACATGCCTCCCCATCTACTCTGGTCTGGCAGAGTAAAGGGGGTCACCGTAGACTGAACTAAACTAAAACTTCAAACCCTTTGACAAATATTTAATTCAGTTCAACTGCAGTAGATCTTTTTAAAAATAATTCAAGTCATCATTTGCAAAAAATACTTATAAATATACTAAAAATGGTGGCAGTATATTGTAATTTGTAAGTAGGTTTTTCAAGGTTGACCACTGTCCTTGGATTTAATATGCCTTCACCCAGGTGATGCAATTCTGCTACATGCTTCTCAGTAGCCTTTATAATTAAGATTGTGTTGTTTTTTTTCCCCCCCATTGGAAAAATCAGTATGACCTATGCTGCTTATGAAAGGAAAGATTTTTACTAGATGTTACACAGGAAAAAAAGTCATCTATTTTAGCATAGCCTGAATTTAATAATTAAAATAAGTCACATCAGAGAATGTCTAACATACACGGTGCAGTGCATTTCTTCCTGCCTCTGCAGAATAATAATTGAACTATATACACAGTTTACTTGCACTGTGTTTCCAGAGGGCCAAGAACAATAATATCTCAGAAATCTCTTCAGACTGATAAGGCTTCTTGAATTAAATGGGATTAGTATTCAATGACTAAAGCAACTAATCCCTCCCAAAAAAAGTGAAGTGAATTCATTACATTGATAAGACTACTCACAGCAGAAAAGAAAAATATGCCTTTTGCAGTTTTGTGCAATCCTGTCACGTTTGCACTATGTGAGCTTCCATTTAGTCTTAGTATTATGAGAATCAGAAATTACAGGGATGCCCTGCTGCAATAAAATGAACAAAAATTAATAGCGGAGACTTTGAGGACACGCTCACTTTTGAATCAAAAATGCCAACCATTCCCTATTTTAAACTTTTGAATTTGCTTTATCTTTACATCAGGGACAGTTGGTCAAAACAAAACGTAATTTGTAAGCACTTTTCACTTGATGACATATCCACTATTTTCTGACATTTTCATTGACAAAGATTATTAGATGAATCTTAAAATAAGCAACATATTAATCTATATGAAAACGGGAATTATTTGCAGCACTTGTATATCTCATACCTCTCCCCCACACATGAAAATGCGTGTGCACTTTTGCATTTGCCTTATTCGATTAAACTGAACATTTGCAGAAACTACATGGTTGTTATGAACTTAGGAAAAGCCGATGCGCATTAGTATAATTAACACCCTATATTCTCATTGCATAAATTTACATAATGCAGAATACACGTCAGCCCTTGTTTTGATCAGACAATTTGACAAATTTCAAACACTGGACAGATGCAGTACAAAACCCAGTTAAAAAGAGATAACTTCCACTCGAAGATACAACTGTTTTGTTCCTGACGGTGACTGTAGCCTGGAGAACACCGCCTAGTACAGAGCCATTTACATTTACCACTACATTAGTGGTTAATATGCAGTTATAGCCACAGTATGGCATGCAATGGCAGTACACTGCATTCCAGAGGTAGAAAGCAACGCCAAAACAGCCATGGTTAGACAAAAATGGTCACATTCCAACAAGCTTAAGACACCATTTTGAAAATCCACCGATTTCTAGATAACAACTCTGAGATGCCATCTTGCCAATTATGACCAGATTAGCTAGAGTTAGCATCGAAATTCAACCATTCCTTAGCACCCCATGCAGGAATCCGTATGGGTCACATTATAACTAACATTAGCCTAGCCTAGCTTGTCCGCTAGCCCGAAAAGACAACCGCTAACACGCCGTATCATCCCTGTATCCTTCGGCACACGCTGCTCAAAATGCTAATTAGCGAGCTAGCTGGGGTAAGATTAGCAAATGACTATGAAAAACACTCACATTAGCTCAAACTGGAAAGCACCGGCACAAAAGCAGCTAAATTCACCGCCTGTCTGCAAACCACCACCGTTAGCACCCGTACTGTTACGACAGCTACCACCAGTTTGACTCCGCTATTAGACCTAGCCTATTTAGCTTAGCGCGCTACTTCCCCACTGTAGCCACCACGGAGGACAATTGAAAGGATACGGAGGGGGGGGGGAAAAAACAGAAAAAACGAACAACTAGCAATTCGACACATGGACATTCCTGCCCTCCATAATAAGCATCGGACAAGACTTACCAAAGCCGCTCGGTCGAACAAAAAAACAGACTCCCGTATGTGTACGTGCTTTCTCCCGTATCTGCCCTGCCTCCGATCGTTGCAGAAAGACTCTGCTACAGCAGCGTTTTATCGGGCTAGTGGGTAGACAGCTTTCACACGAAGAGACGGTCACCGTGTGGGGGATGGGGATGCACTGCCGAGAGGGAGAGAGGGAGGGAGGGATGCAGGGATGCAAGGAGAGAGGAGGGGGCCGTTAACACACAGTGGAGAGGCTTTAATAATAGCAGAATAATAACATGTAGATCAATATACCAGACATAACCAAACCAAAAGAAAACCAGTAAATGAGTGACGAGTGGGCTGAGTGATGAGTGTTATTCATTCTGACTGACATAACAGTTCCTTTCTCTCTTAAAGCTTCAAGAATCAGTGTAAATCGACATGGTAGTGTACTGATGAAGATGAAGGTATATAATTACGATGAAGTGAAATTACCGGTATTTCAATGTTGTATATACATATATATATATATATATATATATATATATGTATATATTTAGTAGTAGGCTAATATTGCTATTGCACGTTGGTAGTATATAAAGGCCTGCAGCTGTGCGTCTTTGTAATCAACATTTCCAGGCAGGAAAGTGTGTTATTTGGTCAGCTGCAGCACTGTGGTGGTTAAACGGTACTGCAGCAAAGCTGGAAGTTCATGTTCATTAATTTGGATTCAGTGTTTTATGTCTCATGGATAAGCACAGCCACAAATTTTGCTTCACAGCAAGGCAGCGCCATCCAGTGGCGATGGGTTGCACTGGCTCACAACATATTAATTTATGGGCAACGTGCAGGGCTTACACGACCCAGCTGAAAAATATACACTGTCCATAATAAGATGCATCTAGGCCTATACAACAACAATGAATACATTTTCAGTGAATGAATTAATGTCTGTAAGTCACTGTAGTAGCTCAATAAGGATTTTTAACCAATTATACTAGGATATAAATGAATAAATTCAAATGATTTATTTCAGTGTTCTAATGTAGCCAATATTAATGTTTATAATAAATATCGTTTTTGCTTTAATACCATTATTCGCCTACCACTTAAAACATTGACTTATTCATATATGTATATATTTTTTCGGTTAAGTATTCCTGAGACCTGATTTCTGCATTGAATTTAACTGAAACGATAAACCTAAATAACAACGACTATGGCTATCTGTAGAGAAAAGGCCACCATAAACAGCTCAAGTCAGCAAACACAGAGATAGTGTTTACCGGTACAAATTTTATTATTTCATTTTGTAGTGTTTGGACACCCCCATTATTAAAATATTTGTAGCTTAGCGGCTCAACCTATAACCACAGATTCTACGACACCTTAGACAAGAACTGTGTACACTTTCATCGAGTTTTAAGCCGTACAATAATGAGAACTACAGTTCCCAGTCGTCATTGCGCCTCTCTCTACCGCAAACAAAGAGGCGCATAAACGCGCGCAACTCGAGGGGTTTATAAAAAAAGAAAACAATCCCATTATTTTTATACAAAGCAGGGCACTTCTAGCAAATGTGATGTTAGCGACAAATAGGTACAACCGCAAAAACCAAAAGGATGTCCGAGTCCTCGCGTGATTTCACGCTTGCGGAAGTTAAAATGGCATGAGAAAGAGAGCTCTCCGAGGTGCTGACACCGTGAGTAGTGGTTGTCCTTCTTCAAACTACGTATTCCTATATGTATACATGCTTGACTTTTATCAGCCATACTCTATCTAAGGTTATGTGTCATATTTTAATTTCGAACCGAATACTTGTTTGATAATACTGAATGTGCCCGACAGAAACCAAGCTCTTTCTTCATTTACTCAATAATATTATGTTTCTGTGGTAGTGTGAGTCTGTTACAGATGTGCTAAAGAGAAATACTGTAGATTTTTAATGCATTAGCTTTTTTATCTTTACTCACCCACACTTGTCTCTCATACTGTTTATTTCAGATATAATAACAGACTTGCTACATTCCCATGAATGGCATTATATGCTCATTGTTTTTTCTATCATGTCAGAATTTGCCCAAATGGATGAAAATCAAGAGTCGTCCTCCTGTATCAGCAACACCCACAACTCCAGCAACAGCCGTACCAGCAGTAAACCTGGCAGTTCTCCACAGTGCAATGGGGTTCCAGAACGTCGCACCCTGCTTAGGGTGTCTGAGTCTCATGGAATGCAGCTCCTGGGTGTGCTCCGATCATTCAGGGAACGAGGCTTGCAGTTTGATTTTACCATCAAGGTCCAGGAATGCAGTTTCCCCTGCCATCGCTGTGTTCTTGCAGCATGCAGTGATTTCTTCAGGTATCTACTGTATCTATCTATTTATCTGTCTGTCTGTCTGTCTGTCTGTCTGTCTATCTATCTATCTATCCATCTATCTATCTATCTCTATTAATGTCAGTGTTATGTGTAACTTTTATGTTTAGGGCTATGTTTGAAGTGGACATGCGAGAGCGTGGGGATGGTTCAGTTATTCTGGGTAACCTGTGTCCAGTGGCAGTGGGTTCCTTTCTGGACTTTGCCTACTCTGGAGAGGCACTCATCACTGAAGGCAATGTAGACATGCTATTTCAGCTTGCCTCCTTTCTGCAGGTAAAAGTATTATTATTAGCACCCACAAAACATCTCTGCATTCTTATTCTTCATCTAAAAAATACAGAGGAGTGAAGACAAGCACAAAAGCATCTCCTCTGTATTTGAATTGAATTTGAGCCTCATGTAATAGGCAAGTGTACAGCAGTTTCTGAATAAATGGTTTAGAGAAAATATAATTAAACATTATCTTTTGACAATTTTTTGTTATAACATTTCAGTAAATTTGGAACCAGATTGCATAGTTATATTGTATGTGTATTTTTATCACTAGCATTTAATATGGTGTTAATTTAGCCTGGCCAATATCTCCCATTTTTTTCACCAATTTAAATTACATTAATTAAGTGAAGATAAAATGGCTATATGATATGATTGTTATGCTGATTATTATTTTCTAAGCCACTGGGGTTCAATTTGTATCTTCAGGTGTCAGTCCTGTCCCGAGCCTGCAGTGACTTCCTGATAGGAACCTTGGATCTTTATAACTGTCTGTCCCTCTTGTCCCTCGCTGAGGCCTATGGCTCTGCTTCCCTTCTCCAAAATGCCAATGAGTTTGTGGTTCAAAACTTTTCTGACCTTTCCAAGACCCTGGATTTCCTTGATATGCAGGTGATACTTGAGACCAGAATAAGAACTTTCCTGTATCTGAATATTGCATTCACATACAGTACAGAAGAGCTTGAGGTGTGGCTTCTAAAGATTGCAGAATATCTTTTATAAGACTCTGTAGTCCCTTCAGTCAGTTCTCATCCTGACTATATATTGTGTTTGCAGACATTACATTCTGTTTACTGAAACAGTTAGTTAAATATGTTCATTTTAATTTTAATGTTAATTTGCAGTGACTCATATAACACACATTACTGTAAAATGTAACTTAATGCTCAGCTATGCCTATTTAAAAATGTGATGTGTGATAGAAGAGGTTTGAGAAAAAGCCCTCACAATCACCATAACCTCTAGAGTCCCTGCGTCCTCATATGAGGACCGCACAGCTTGGGTTTCCAAAGCTCAGGACTCTAGAGGTTAAAACTGTAACAGGCATATTTATCATTATACCTCAGTTTTTTTAGCTTGTCTCAGGCTGAGACAAGACCTTTAAATGTTACTTATTTAAACTGTACCTGAATTTGATGTCCAAATGAGTGTGAGAATCTTGATGGACTTAAGAAATTGTTGAGAACAATTTTCCTGGGCACAGGGCAAAAGTAATCAGTAAATCTGGCCCTGGAGGTCTAAAAAAAGGCTTCTCTTATGTAAAAATAGCAATTATGATCTTTATATTGCCCCCGCTCATATCAAGCCTGAACTCACTTAGCATATTACATTTATATTGCTTCTTTTAGGTGAATGTGTTGGAGGCCTCCCTAAGGTCAGATGCTTTAAATGTGCCCAGTGAGGAGGCAGTGGTGATGTCACTTCTTAGATGGATATGTTATGATCTCCCAGGAAGACAAAAACTGTTGCCAGGATTGTTGTCACTAACCAGACTGCACCACCTGCCTGCAGCTGCACTAAAGGTAGAAACACACTGCATGCATTAAAGTTAGAATTTTGTGCAAGTTGCAGTCTCATGATCATCTCATGTCTCACCCCTTGTCTCTCAGATTCTGTGTGAGTCAGACACTCTTCTATGCAATGATGAGTCTTGTCTCGCCCTGCTGTCTGAGGCCCAGAGCAGACAGACTCTTTATAATGGCCTACTCACTGATGCCAGGCCTGCCACAACACAGAGCTACATCTACATCCACAAGACAGAGGAGAATGGAGAAATCCGCCACACCTTCTGTTACTGTCTGGAAACAGATCAGTGGAAAGAGCTGGAAACGGGACATGGGGAGGGGGCAGTTACAATGCCAGATCCACCGGGATCCTGCCTTACCAGCTATGCTGAGAAGGTACAGCTGGGACTGGAACGTAGCAAGAGTTCAGAAAGCAGTAGTTTTAGTGACCCTGTAAAATGAAGCAATGTCAACTTGTGACCTCTCTTTACATGTTATAGCTGTAGTGTGGGTATAATTTCTGAACAGTTCAACTATGATTCCCAGATTGTTTCATCTGAACATTTTTTTAAAGAGGTAATCACAAAAGGTAATAGTGCCCATTATTCCACAAAAGCAAAACTTAGTAGGATGCCAGAAAAAAAAACACATTGTGTGTAAAGAAGATCTTTATTTTCTCCTTCTTATCCTTTTAACAACATTTTCACCCCTTAGTTTTATTTGGAGACATTTATGGGAGTCCCAGCCTCCATGTTCAGGTTAGAACAGGTGTGGGAGCAGCACTTCAACAGTTGGTGATCCAGGCTACTTACAGTATCTTCTACTGCACCTGTCAAGTAAAATTAAGCAGTGAACAAAACTAACTTGATCTCATTCACAATGACTTGTAAATAATCTTTTCCCTGCACGTTTTCATCTTGCTCTTCATTTTATTTTGATAAAGTTCCTCATCTTCTCTACTTCCCGCTGGCTCTAAGATGTTTGTCACAGGTGGTTGTCGAGGGAACTGTTGTCGGGCAATACGTCTCCATGTGGCCGAGCCATTCCATGATGCCACGGATGAGGTTTGGTGCTTCTGTCCTGTGACCCTATCATGCACAGCTGCACCGGCCATGCTGAAGCCCCGCACCATGCACACAGCTGTAACCTGTTTGGACCGAGTATATGTAATTGGAGGACGGACCAAGGGACCCAGAGGGGGGGCTCCCAGTCTGCTGGAGGTAACAGTGTTTCCTTTATATACACCTGAGACCAAATTATGTCCCAGACAAATTCTGTTATTTTTTTATTTTGTTCCCTAGGTGGAGTATTATGATCCTCTGGCCCAGATCTGGTGTTCAGTCAGCCCACTGCCCACTGCCATCTTCTACCCTGAAGCCAGTGCTTGTGGCACCATTATCTATACACTTGGATCAGAGGTGGAAATCACAGACTCCTTCAACCCCTCACTGGACTGTTTCTTTTGCTATGATGCCCGACAAGACCAATGGAGCCGCCTGGTGACAGAGTTTGGCCAGTTTTTCCATGCTACACTGGTCAAAGCAGTGTCAATTCATAACATACTACACCTCTGTGACCTGTCCACTTATAAGGTGAGCCCTCAGATGGGCACTTAGAAGCTTTAAGGGCTGTTAAACAGTTAAACACAAACTTTAAAATGTGCCTTTTCCCATCTAGGTTTACAGCTTTTGTCCAGAGACTTGTGTGTGGAAGGGTGAAGGGTCGTTTGAGTGTGCCGGGTTTAATGCTGGAGCAGTGGGTATGAGAGACAGAATCTATATCCTGGGTGGAGACTATTCACCTGATGAGATCACAGATGAAGTTCAGGTAACAAAGAAAATCACCTTTTCTATTCATCAAAGCTACCCTGCTTTCACTTTATTTGGCTAGCTGATGTTCTAAATCATGTTCACATGACCTAAAGGTGTGTCAGGCCTTTCAGTGACAAAATGGTGCTTTACTGTGTTGACTTGCACTCTCAGTGTGTTTTACTATTACCTGTGTAGGTGTACTACAGTGGGAGGAGTCAGTGGGAGGAAGTGGCACCCATGCCCAGAGCGCTCACTGAGTTCCACTGCCAGCTCATCAGCTTCAGCAGATACAGAGACCCGTGGGGTGATGCAGCGTAATACACTGCAGAGAGACATGCGTAAACACGTGAGCGGACATACAGGTGCGTTACATGTCAGTAATATAAGCAACTACCTATGATGAGTCTCTGGCTTTTAAACCTGTTCACATGACGGACAGTGCTTCCAGAGGGAATAACAGTCATGTCGTCAACTAACGCCACATCTCCTCTCACAGATCATTACAACACAAGATCATCTGAGGTGTATTCATTTATTTTTTATTTAAAGGTTTGATCCTAAAATTTGTATGAGTGAAGCACCTGCTGTCACAGGATCTTTACTGTGTCAGTCTAAATATGGTGCCTCCCAAGGAGGAACCCTATTATATAAGACTATTTCAGAAATCTATTTTAGTACCTTCTGGACTATTATGGTTCAATTTAATAGCTCCCCTACAGCTAGAATAAAAAAAACAACAAGAGTTTATTGTGTAATATTTTACACTCCGCCATGTAAGAAAAAGACAATGTGAAAGCCCTTTCAGCTTAATGTGCTTCATGTGAAAGTACAAGTAAAAAGGTATTATTTTGTAATATTTTCATAAAATTGTCATATACACCATCCTTCATCTTTGTGGCTTTTCCATATTATTTTTATGATTTTCATTTCTTTGTGCTGTTCTTTCTAACTCATGGAGAGCTGTTCATATATAGTAATCTATTTAAAACTGAGCTAACATATTTTCACGGCAGTATTGTCTAAATCATCTTGTGGATTTTCACTTTAAACAGCTTGCCTTTATTCAGTTTCAGACCTATAGCCCCGCATGCCTTGTTTCTTCTTGATATATAGAATTTCTGTATGTGACCAGACAATAATAGATCACCCGATTCCCCTCTGCAACTGATTGTTTCTATTCTGCCAACAAGTGAAAAGTGTGTAACTTTATCTGTGCTTGTCTATCATAAAGAAACATGCTCTTTAGCTTGAGTCTATTAACAAGAAGGTCTGCTCAAACATAAACTCTCAGAAACTGCAAAGAGAAAAATATGGGCCTCCTGATGTAAATAATGAATGCAATAAGTTTTTGTTGTTAAACAGAAAAAGGACCCAACAACTTAAAGACTGTTTTATGGCAAGAATTGAACATAAACATAATGCTTCATTATCTGTGTTGATGTCTTCTATGATTAAACACAGTATCTGCGTTTGACATGTTCATAACGTCAGTAAAAGCACAACAATAGACACAACAGTGTGGTTCATACTATCAGTGAATGACACACTGTGACTCGGGTTACTGTATATACTACCGTACATAGTGACATGGTAAAGTTTCCTAGCAGTTATTTTAGAGTCCCACAGTGAAAAACTAGCACTGCAAGCCCCAGTTCATTTATTTTTATTCACCCTCACATCTGTTCTGTGATTTAACCTTTTGGCTTTTGGCAGAAATTCAAGGCCACATTCAAAAAACACCTCTGATTACAAAGACAGATCCAAGAGTTGTTTGTCATTGACAGCCCTGGGTATAGCTGTAACACAGTCATATAGTTTCTGATTGCTGATATGACTACTGCAGCTCAGACCAGATTATTGATCACTGAATAAAAGAATGAAAAGCTGTAAAAACTGTATCTGAACAAAATTCAATTCTGCAGCAAAGTCCAACAGCAACCATGCTGGCCTCCCTCCGCACTTATCTCTCCTTCTCCTCTACCCCCTCATTCATCTTGTCACTTCTCTCTCCATGGCTCAGTCTTGGTAACTTTTCACCAGCAGCCACATCAGCAGCACAGTGATTAAGACGACCATAAAATTGAGGAACAGCTCCTGCGTCGAGCGGTCCATGGTGGCGTCACAGGCGGATAGGGTAGGCGAGGCTGGCAAGGAGCACGGGGATCTGCTGCTGAGAAGATGAGGAGGAAGAGGAGGAGGAGGAAGGAAATCTGGAGCTGTGTTGGATGGTTTTTAAAGAAGTCTGGCTCCTTTTTGGACACTGATCCAAGACCTGAGAGGGAGCAAAGGTTACACAGTTTCACTGTTACCAGCGCTCAGCAGGAGGAGTTTCCAATTTATCTCTCTCTCTCTCTCTCTCTATATATATATATATATATATATACACACATGTTGCATGTCGCACACACCCAAATGCAGTCACATACACAAAAAGCATATGTAATATATTAATACACACACAAACGGGATATTAAAAACTGTTAGGAAAAGTTTTCAGTGCATAAAATGACCACATTTTTGCATATTGATCATAGTTGCATATTTTTCATTTCTTAGTTATCAATTGCAATTTTTTTTTTCTCCCAGCTGTGACACCACTGTTCAGGATGTTAACACAAATCCAACAGTCAGTGTACAGTTACCTACCCACTTTTGGCTGTGATCTCTATAAACTGACCTCCAATACAGCAGCTTGCTTCTTACTGGAAACTTCTTTGTTGTGGCACTTCTGCTCTGTAGCATCTATTAGCAGCAGCTATTCTTCTTGCAGTTGTCCAGCTTTCTGTGGTCACGGGAGGCAGGGCCCACTCCTAAAGTAGTGATACTCAGTGGACCGCCCATGATTCACATACACACAGTCTGAAGTCACACACCAGCTAAACAACCAATAGAGTGTGTTATTCTCCACAATCTTGGCCACTGGCATGTTTGCCCATACAGAGTCTCTCCCTCACAGACACACACTCAACAGAGGCGGGACTCAGGGTTATTTATAAAACATTATTGCGGCTACTAGTTGGATTACGGTTGTTCTAAACACAGTACTTATCGTCTGGTGGATATAGGGAGCTGTAACAATATCACTCAGGATCCAGGGAGGAAACATGCACAGAGGCAATGAGGAACCTCTCCAGAATGTAACATATGAGGCATGTAGGATTTAAATCATCCTACAGTATACAATACAGTCCTTTCAGCAACTGCACTACTCTTATTTTCAGCTTTCTTCCTGGCTGTTGGATAACAGCTGGCAGTCATCAGAGACAATAGCAGGATGTGCAGGTTACAGAGCAATGTGGCTGGCACCCTTTTTAGTCAACTGATGTATGAGCAGACGCAGGCAGGCGACCAGGCTGAATCAAATTTTGTTTCCCTCAGTGGAGTGCCAACAAGCTGAAGGGGAAGCACCAATGATGTTACCTGACCAGAACTTCACAATAAACCCTGAGAGGTAGTTTCACTCTTTGTCTGCTATCTTTCTAAGAGTTAGATGAGAAGATGATACAACTCTCATGTCTGATTGTTTATCATTATCAACAGCCAAAAGCTTAGCATAAAGACCAGAAACAGCTAGTGTGGCCCTGACCTACAGTAGCTAAATTCACCTAGAACCTTTTTTTTATTTGTATTGGTTGACATTTTCATGATGAGTCTTGCATGGGTCTTAGATTAAGAAGAGACAAGAGTGCAGCCCTTTTTGTTGACACTGAAGGACAATGACTAATAACCTTCATCCTTAAAGCATTTTTGTTTACTTTCAATCAATTAGTTACCTAAATTAAACCCATTAAGATGGCCTATTAGTATGTGGTATAATCACAACAATCATCTGGACCAAAACATACCTTTACCAGTATTACCTGAGCTGTGACATTACTTAAACACACAAGATGTGTTGATTAGTGAGCTCTGCTGGTGGATGGATTTTGCTACCAAGCTGTTTTCCCTTTTCATCTACCATGCAGACATGAGAGTGGTAAATCCAAAAAGAAAGCATGCATATGTGTCTAAAATATTCCTTCAAATAGATGTTACATAATTAAAAAGCTGCAATTTTAATATTTTTTTTTATTTTCATTGTTTTTCTCTCTTTTGTGGTAGGCATTGTACCTTTACATTCTCTCTCCTCTGTGTTATCACTGGTGCTAAGAAAAGGTTTTTGGCACTGAACCTGTCAGCTCATCTCACACTTGACAGCTGCTTAGAACAGTGTTATCTCAGAACTAGTGCTAAGCCCCCTTGACACACATGCACCTTCTCCTGTATATGCAGAGGGGTCACAGCAGGGCACAGTGAGCATGAGCACGGTGAGTGAGTGAGCACGACTCCCTTTCCATCACAGCATTCCAAGGTCATTCCAGGATTAATAAACTGATCAAAAGGGTTGCCATTTTATAACCCTGCTGCACTGCCAGCATCAGACCAACAGTAATTTGACCCAGGGGTTCCCATTGTCACAGAGACCCAGCGCTACGTGTTACTGAATAAAGGAGGGTGCAGGATGGACCACAGCCCACTCTGACAGCTGTATGTGTGTTTAAGATATAAAAGTGCTGGCAGGGTTATCCTCTAAATCAGTGACACCATTCTTCACATTCTGGGGTGCTCTGTGTGTGTGTGTGTGTGTGTGTGTGTGTGTGTGTGTGTGTGCAAGCCCCTGTTATTTCTCACACTGTGGGGACTGAAACCTGCCTAAACACTCACACTGTGGGGACTCTGGCTTTTTTTTTTTTTTTTTTGTGGGGACCAGATGAATTTTTTTAATTTTAGTGTGATGAATTGATTTGAGGTTTTGGTAAGGTTGGGGTTAGGGCTAGGAGACAGGAAATTAAGGGATGTTTTTTGCAAGCCAGCTGTGAGTGTTAGGGTAAATAAACAATAATGGACAAAACAAATGAATTCATCAATAATATACAGTATCTCTACAATAACTTTACAGCCATATGCTTACAACTAATACATTCTTAGAATAACCTACAGTGCATCATAAACACAAGATTTATCCCATCTAATAATTCCAGGATCATTAAGTTATTTACCTGACTAACTAATATAAAATCATTATGTCAGTACATTAAATAATGCATGAGCAAGTAGACATTTAGTTTAGCTTAGTATAAAGATGCAGGCAGAAATGGATTGCCTGCTAGATAAAAAGAAAATGCACCTACTGGCACTAATTAATACATATTTTGTTTGTTTAACAAGTACAAAATGACAAGTTGTGTTTTTCTTCCATTCTGTACACTAAGCTAAGCTAAGCTAATCACCTGCATAGGCAACTATAGCCTCATATGTACAGTATATAGGTATTAATACTAAATTAAAAATTAAAAATCTAAAAACCATGAAAACCTAAACCATATAAATGACAAATTAAGGTTTTTCTTCCAGGTTTTATGCTAGGCTAAGATAAGCTAAGATAAGACGCTTATCTGCTGGCTCTGGTGCCATATTTGTATTTTTACAGTTGTATTTTATTGTCTAGGAAAACAAAAAAAAAAACAAAATCAAGCAAATTTCATTTAATTTTATTTGATCACTTTACTACTACTGTTGCTTTTGCAGTGACAGGAAAAAGTGTTTTTTAATCTCAAACAAGATTTGAAGCAGAAAAGGTTCTAGTGAAGAAATATTTCCTCTTATTCAATAAACACAAGTTATCCTGCCTGCATGTTACAGTACACATTGGCACTCAGAAATGGTTTGTCCCACAGCGTCTAAATCTTTTCCACTGCAGCAGAGGTTTGAGGGAAAACATCATCTCAGCTGACTGTCACCCTGATAGTGAGATGATACACACCCCAGACACACAATACTCAGCCCTGGTAATATTTTGGCTAGTTGAACGTTTGAACGGCAGAGCTCTTGCCAAGGAACCTGCACTAGTAACTTCGATCCCTGTCTTATATTCCTTAGTTCTCTATATTTGTCACTGAAGAGACTTATTTTCAGTGCTACAGTATGTTCTGTTCTCAGGGATTCAAACTTACTGGTGTCACAAACCTCTTATAAATACATTTCAGAAATACAAGTATATATATATCTTTATATATTTTATTTATTTATTTTGACCTATGGTCATGAACTTTGGGTCATGACCGAAAGGGCAAGATCCCGGATACAGGCGGCCGAAATGAGCTTTCTCCGCAGGGTGGCCGGGCGCACCCTTAGAGATAGGGTGAGGAGCTCGGTCACCCGGGAGGAGCTCAGAGTAGAACCGCTGCTCCTCCACATCGAGAGGAGCCAGCTGAGGTGGCTCGGGCATCTGTTTCGGATGCCTGGGAGGTCTGGGCATCTTTGCTTAGACTGCTGCCCCCGCGACCCGGCCCCGGATAAGCGGAAGAAAATGGATGGATGGATGGATATTTTATTTCATCCTTCTTATGTTTCATCATCTCCATGGAAATAACATGTATTTTTGGTTAATATATTTCTGCATTTATACCAGCCTGTTCAATTCAATTCAATTCAATTCAATTCAATTCAATTCAATTCAATTCAATTCAGTTCAATTCCATTCATTTCAATTCAGTTCAATTCACTTCATTTCAATTCAATTTTATTCAGTGTTATTTGTACAGTGTCAATGTACAACACAATCATCTCAGGGTACTTTAAATAATAAGGTCTAGATCTGCAGTACTATAGAGAAAAACCCAGCAATTCCTTCTTGAGGTGGGCGACCGTCTGCCTTGACTGGTTGGGGTGAGTGGATAGAGGAGAGAGGCAGAGAAAAAAGAGAAGCACCAGGACACAACAAACACAACAACAAACAATCAAACTCTAGGCAGGTTGGTGTGGCTGGTGACTGCTCATCAGTTACATACAGCTCCAGAGCCAGGGCTACCTGCAGAAAGATACAGGGAGAGAGCGAATGCATGCTACGGGAGAGAGGAGACACACAGTTAGTGACATGTAATACTGGCATATAGATGCATCAAAAAAGAGGACAGGAGAGAAACTCAGAGCACCATGGGAGGACCCCCAGCAGCCTAGGTCTATAGCAACATAACTAAGGGAAAGCTCAAGGTCACCTGACACAGTCCTGACTATAAGCTTTATCAAAAAGGAAAGTCTTAAGTCTAATCTTAAAGGTAGAGAGGGTGTCTGCCTCCTGAACTGAGACTGGGAGCTGGGTCCACAGGAGATCAGCTTGATAGATAAAGGCTCATTCCTGTCAGTACTCTGGCTGCGGCATTTTGGATTAACTCATTGCTTCTGTTTTTAATTGCTCTCATCTTTCCCCAAGAACAGATGGATATCTGTTTACACAGAGTCTCTAGAGAGTGGTAGAGATCAAAACCACTATTTTAAAAAGCAAGTATCTTTATCTGGCTATCTTTGCTCTGCAGTATCCAGCTAATTAGAATACAAAGATGCCAGCAATAGGAGTTTGGCCTCTGGTTACTGGCTCTGCATTTCAAAGGGTGATGGCATACCTCAGGGTATATAAATGGTTCCATTCTGGTTACGGATGCTTGGCTGATGTATGAGGTGAAGCTGCCCTTGAGCATTGGCTTGGGAAATATCACGCTAATCTCCTGTGAAATTTCCACTTCATACAATGTTGATGCTCATGCATCCACTGTCATTCTTCACAAGTTCGTGAATGGCTGATCATCTGTGAAACATATGTTAAAGTTATGATTCAAAAAATTGTTTTTTCACCTTGGGCACACAAAAACACATCTCATCAGCTTAATCTTTATTACTGGATTGTTCATCAACTACTAATTGGACTTTGTCGTGAGTCTGTTTTCTCAACTGCTGTTTCTAAGGTCAAAAATGAACTCCAAACTTCAAATCTTGAGTAGACATAGATAAAAAGTCCTTATAGTGGTCTGAAAATTTGTAAAATGTCCCTTATTTTGTCCATAAAAACTGCTACAGTACATTTGCATACATGGACCTTTGCCTATTTTCCCTTAGAAACTGAATCTGACCGGCATCTTGGTGTGTCATCCAGTGCTCATAAAACAGTGAGGATTTTATTAGATGGAGCAGAGTGTTGTTGATATGTCAGAGAGGGCAGCCATGTGCTCTCCTGTCTGACCAGCTGTTGTTTTGTTGACTGAACCAAGCACGCTGTTAAGACGACCAAGGGTTCCCACTGACCAGCAGCTCAGCTTGGCACTGTAATTACTGAGATGGCTGAAGACAGGTGAGGGCTACACCGCATAACACATTCGTGAACAAATGCACGCACAGACCACCACACACTGATACTCATGCACAAACACTTCATGCTCACAAACATGTACAAAGACGTGCACATGAATGCTGGAACACACACCAATGCCCAGAGGGGCTGTAGAGTCATTAATCTTGTTGTAGAGAAATTCATATGCAGGATCTGAGCTAATTGGCTCCTATGAGAGGAAGCAGACAGAGAGCAGTGACTGGAGCAGGCACCGGTGCACTAGAGACAAAATAATAGACAGAATACATCAGTTACAATTCTCTGACTGTGATTGGCTGCTTTTATATGTTCTGCATCTGTCCTGGTGGGTATTTTGTTTTGTTGTTCTTTTTCTTTCTTTTTTTATATAAATATTTAATGTAGCCAAATAGCTTATTAACACATTTTATCTTTTAGTATCAAGTTGCACAGCCTAGAATGATCCACTGAACATTTAGTCTGCCTTTTTTCAGAGATTAGGGAGGCATACAGGATTTGCCATCAGGGTTTAATTCACAAGGCAAAACACTAGTCATCAGTAAGATCTGGGTATGAAAGTAGCATAGATAAGAACAATTTAGACAAATTGAACGACAGTAATCCTATGCTAAATGCATACCACTTTGGAAGATATGTCCCAGGTGCAACATTATACACTAGGAACTGAATAGTTGGGTTTCCCAGGGGAGATATAAAAAATTATTACAGTTTTGCTGAGACAGTCACAAAAATATACTTTATTTGCCTATATAAGTGGCCCTCAAGCACATTATAGGGGGAATGCACGACTTTGTGGAAAATGTATTTTTGTTTCTTACAATAT